AATAAATTTTGAGTAAGTAATTTATATGAATGAATATTTTGTGTCGTAAAATTTACGGCAATTTAGTTAGCAGTTCAGTTTTTTCGACCCTTAGTATTCTAATGTTATTCAAGCTACCGTATCAGATTTTCCAAGAGGTAGAAACGCTTTCACATCGAATTATTTTCTGACATTTGTAGTGTATTTGCATTTTCCTAAAGAAGCTTCTATTTTATCTGAAATCCAAATCTCGGATTTTTTAGAAGAAGAAAGAAAAAAGATTTATTTTATCATTATATTGAATTAAAATTAAAATGTTCTACATAATTAAAATTTTCAGTTTTGCTTCCTTCTCCGAAAAAAAGGAATCATGAAAAATTTCGGTTATCATATTTCAACGAAAATATCCATTTCGGCAATTGCTTTGGTCACTTTTGTACGTGCGAACATAATATAAGGGATTATGTTTTCCAAAACGGATTGTAAAATGGACCGATTGTATGTATTTATCTCGCATAACTCAAAAACTATTGGCCGTACAATGTTGAAACTTTGCGTATGCATCTAGTTGTGCACCTCCCTTTTTCGTTGCGCCGCACCAAATATATATTATATATATACACCCTGCCTCTTACCCGGCTGGTTGAGTTCTATTTTTTTTATTCTTATTACAAATATGTGTGTCAACTTCTGCATTCTTTCCTTTAAAAGTGATTGAACTGGGTTTTTGTTATGTTCTTCCGGTTAAGATTTGTATGCCGTTAGTTATTCTGCATGCAATAGTTGTAGAATTATCAACAGTTTAAAAGTGGCGCAAAGCTTAATAAGACCGCCAGTTTGATTACAATTGAAACTCATATTCTAATAGTGAATCAAGCCAATTAGTGCACCGACTTTTATCGTCTTTTTTCCCAGTGAGACCGAAAGTTAACTTTCAGTTTTGTGTACTGAAAATTTTGTTATCCTGCCCTTTGGCCAAATAGCTACTTTTGCCGTGAAAACTGTAATTTTTTTAAATTCTTTTTAACTGTGTTTGTTGGTGTTTATTTATTTATTTATTTATTTGTATTTTACAATTTTTAATGAAGATTTTTTTTAAAGCTTTATGCATTTTCACCTTGCCGCGAAGACTGAACTGAATTAATTGAATGAGAAATATATCTCTAATGAAATTCGAAGAAATAAATTTAAATGAAGTGCAGGAAAAAATGTGTATAATTTAATAGGTCATGCAAGGAAGTCATTTGGTATCCACTTCAAATTTTTTAGATATAAGAAATACATTTTTAGTCACTGTTTCCTATTTGTCTTCAGCCAACATTTGATATCAAAACATTTTTTTTTGAAAATAAATAACTTATGTAGCCAAAAAGTCGATGTACTTGCAGAATATTAATGAGTCATGAATAACAAATAAGCTAAGAATATATTTTACGGCTCATTTTAGTCAAATATTCAGGTAAACAAGACTCTAATGTCACTGAAGATGATTTATAACTTCTTCTTTTATTCATGAAAATGCAATTTTCAAAGCATAAAATTATGCCAGCGTATTGGAAAATGCATGACAGCTTATTTTGATACACAATGAATAGATAATTTTATATGTCATTAAAATATTCTTTTATTACTTATCTATATTAAAAAGTCGTAACACAGACGCTTATAAAGATCCTCTTCCATGTGTGTAAGAGTATGGAAGAGGATCTGGAGAAAGTTTATTTTCTGAAACTTAGATATTGTTCTTTAGAGTGTATGTGAAATAAATTAAATTTTCTTGGTCTTCTTAATCCACGTTGCGTTTCTTTCAGCGGTTTGACTATTTTATTCTAATGAATTCACAAGGTTATCAAGCATATTATTATGTTGCAATACATAATTTAAAAAAAGCTGACGGGTACTTCACATGTTTTCCTAGCTGAAGAATTATTGAAATTTATGCGAATTGCAAACCTGAATTCTACTCCTGAGCAAAACCATCTGGTTACAAGGAGATTTTGAACGTTCTGAATGTTGAATTATAGCTTAATACAGACCACTATTAATGCTTTGTCAGAGTACAGACTTCACGAGCAGTATTCAGAGTACAGGATTCACAAAGGTGGATGGACAAAAATATGGAAACACCTTGTGAAATGCATGTTTGAAAAGAAAGATTAATTTTAATGAAATATGTAGGTGGCGCTGGCGTTTTTGACTACTGACGCCACCTATACAACTTCGTAAATGTGCTAAACAGTTCAGTTGTTTGTCGGAGTACTGTTATGTGAGGTTGTCATTGCATTATGTCAGAGTTAACAGACTTCGAACGTGGGCAAATTGTTGGAGCACGTATGGTAGGAGCTTCCGTAAGCAAGGTAGCCGAGGTGTTTAGTGTTTCAAGAGGTACTGTATCGAAGATTTATTCCGCATATTTGGAAAGCGGAAAACCATCATCTGCTAAATCACAGCGCGGACGAAAGTGTGTCCCGAGTGATCGTGACAGACGATCATTAAGGGCAATTGTGACGAAAAATAAGAAGACCACAGCTGCAAAAGTTACTGCTGAAATGAATGTTGTGTTACCGAACCCTGTGAGTACCAAAACAATTAGAAGGGAGCTTCATAAACAGGGAATGGCTGGCCGTGCTGCAATTCAGAAGCCACTCATCTGTGATGCTAATGCCCGTAACAGGAAAATGTGTTTAAGTCATAAAGCCTGGACTATAGAGCAGTGGAAGCGAGTAATAGGGTCTGACGAGTCTTCTTTCACATTGTTTCCCACTTCTGGCCGAGTTTACGTCTGGAGAACGCCATTTCAAGCCTATAATACAGACTGCTCGTTGCCAAGAGTGAAACATGGCGGGGGTTCTGTTACGGTTTGGGAAGCCATATCGTGGTTCTCTGCTAGCACCATGATAACTGTGTCAGGGCACATGACTGCCAAGACTTATGTGAACATTTTGGTCGATCAAGTTCATCCCATGGTACAAACTTTGTTCCCCGATGGTGATGGTGTCTTCCAAGACGACAAAGCCCCTGTTCACACAGCTCACATTGTCCAGGACTGCTTTTCTGAGCACGAGGATGAGTTGTCCCATCTCCCCTGGCCACCACAGTCACCAGTCCTGAATATTATCGAACCTTTGTGGTCTACATTGGAAAGGAAAGTGCGTTCTCGTTATCCACCACCAACTTCGTTATCTGAACTTGCCACCGTTTTGCAGGAAGAATGGTATAATATTCCCTTGACAAACATACAGGAACTGTATTTATCCATTCCGAGAAGACTGCAAGCTGTTTTGGATGCCAACGGGTTTCCTACACCATATTAAGCAAAGAAACATGTTTTTTAAAGGTGTTTTTTCATATTTTTGTCCAAACCCTGTAGTCAGTGTTAGTTTTTAAACAACTTGATATTTTAAACGCATGCCAGCATAACCTCAAGCGTTAAGTTCAGTAAAGTATGAACGAAATTCTTAAAATGTTTTACAAATAAAATTCAAAATATGCTTAAAGTGCTTTTTATACTATTTAGAGGAATTACTGCACAACAATGTGTGTTAAAATGCATTTGTTAAAGTTTGTAGAACTTGAGGTTAACAATGCGTTTATGGCTACCTATCATTCATCGTATTTGAATAGTCTACATATATAATTTATTGTATTTGTATGCGCTACGTATCAAATTTTATTGTATTTTTATGGGATATTAAATTATTTTATTTTGTATGAGAAACTTTGTTCATTTGTATTAGCTATCTTGCAACATTCCAGATATTAAAAATTTATTCAATTCAGATATTCAGTTTCATTGTCGTGACCGTTACACCACGAAAGCGGGAAGAATACCTTATAAGTATAAAAGTAAGATACTGAATAAGTATTATTGTAGTAAAATATCTAGCAATACAGCCCAAATGTAAGAAAAAAAAAACCAAAACTTATGTTTTTATAATATGTTTATCACCTGCTTCTATCATTTGAAGTAGTATTTTGCTAAATAACACCAGTAAATAGATTTATTGGGTAGAGTAGACTTTAAGGTACCCCTTGTATTATGGCGAAGTTTTTGTTTCATTTATCGCCAAGTTGCTGTTTCATTTATGGTAGCCTGAGTAGTTGAATGTTATGGAAAGCCTATTGTGACGTAATCGGGTGCATGATTCTGGGAAATTTTGAATCATGGGATGTTTTGTAAGCGTTTTTGTGGTGTTGTGTGTGAAAACCGTTTAGATGGATTTGAATGGGTTTGTAGGAAGAAAGGTTCAGATGGTCACTATGTGAAGCGTTCGATCAGAAAGAGTACCTGGTTTGAAAAAAGTCATTTGAGTATGATTGATATTTTGATTTTTACGTGGCTCTGGGTGTACGAAGCGAACTCGAAAATCGTGGTAAGTGAATATTTGCTTTTGGTAGTGCTTAAATGTATAACATGTTTTTCCTTTTTTATGTTATTTTATTGTTTGGTTTAAAATGTATTTTATTGAGATTATGTATTTTTTGTTTGCCTATATTGTAGAACTTTGGTGCTCCTTTGACTTTTAAGTGAAAATATATCCATGTGTACATGGACAGAGTAAAGGGAGTGCGGAATGCAAGTTTGTGCAACTCTGGGATTTTTTTTTAAGTGAAAATAGGTCGACGTGTACATGGATAAAGTCAAAGAAGTGCGCAATGTCATTTTTGTGCAATTCGGGGTTTCTTTCTTTAAGTGAAAATAAGTCGATGTGTACATGGATACCGAGTTTGTGCAATTGTTTGTCTTGTTATTTTGGCTTTGTGTAGGAGCGATTTTTGAGCAAGCCAAAGTAACGAGTTAAATAATTGCACAAAATCGGTATCCATGTACCGCCAAAAATCGCCAAGTTTCGCCAAGGGGTACCCTAAACTATACTTTTACCGATTTATTTATACTGTTCTCCGAACACATTTAATCAGTATTAAAGTCTTTTCACTAAAAACATCAAGCATTATTATGAACTGAGATTCAAATAAATGATAAAATTTAATTACGTAATCATTTTTCTTTTCATTTGCAGCGCTGATTATTTCTCAATGGGGATCTCTATGGAACTGGCGCACTTTGACCTACCTTCTGATGCGCATCATCCTCATATTACCGAATGCTTATTTCTACCGGAATATTGGTTTCTGCGGTTTGCGCATGCGCAAATCAACATCTTTCAACAATCTGAGAGACTGTGGTTATAACAGCACGTCTGCTATTAACAGCCAAGGCAAAAAAGCGGACTGAGGCAACTCGAAGATTCCGGAGGATACGTGGGTGTGCTTAATTTCATCTAATTTTTCATCTTCCTGATGTAATTGGTTAAATGTTTGCAAATCAGTATCAGTTGGGTCAAAGGATTTCAAATTAAAATGAAAGAATTTATCTGGTAAACAATTATTGCATAAGTGTTGAGAAGTTTCTTAATGCATTTATCTTTGTCTAGAATTAAAGAATTTCTATTGTCTAGAATTTCTACATATATTGCGGAAATTCTTCTATGTCTTGGAAACTGAAATTGGATATTCATGCTGTTTTTTACCTTAAAATTTTAACATGCAGTTTTTTATGAAATAGTCAGGAGAATTTTTATTTAATTAGATGTTAAAAATCCTACTGTTAACTGTTTTTCATAGAACCTAAAATATTTTTTAAAAAAATAAAATTTTTAAGTAAGTTGTTTTTTAAACTCTTAGCCTTTTCCAATCGAAATAACAGTTAAATTTAATCATAATATTATAATGATTAAATTTAATCATAATTATTAAATAACAATTAAATTATCAATGCAAGTTTTCTAATACTTCTGATATAAAACTTTATTCAGTCAGGCATTTTAGAACTAAATTTTTTACGAAAACCATATTGCAAAAAATGTAAAATAATGTTCAGAATATAATTTTTTTTTAAATTTCTTTATTTAGAAGAAATTCTTAGAGCTTGATTTATTACTTAAAAAATATAATGGTATGTAATATAATTTAATTTTTTTTGCATAGATTCTTTAATAAATCTGCAGTGCAACACAGATAACTTGTTTGAAAATACAGTATGAAACAAAAGTAATGAACTGGCTATAAATAGTTTAAATAAGATAATTCTTATTTTCACTTTGACTTATTTAACATTAATATACAAATTAATGTTAAATAAGTTAATATATTAATATATAGTCGATATATTGATATATAATATTATTAAATAAAAATAAATGCATTGCCAATATAAGCACGGACCCAACTGTTATTTAAAGGTTAAGGTGAATTATGAGGAAAGTGTATGATTTGCAAAGGCATTTCAAAGAATATCACATAGCACACTCCATACATTTTTAACTTTATGATACCCTGTTTATTCTGTGATCTTCGTTGTGATGTCTGTAGTACACTGTATGTCTGTAAAAAATTTGTTTAGTTCAACAACTTACTTTGGTTGTTTATTTATTTTCTTGTAAAACTTTAAATATTTTTCCTTCTGATTCTAACTGCATCTTGTAAATTTCAGAGCAATACGAAATAAGAAAAATAGTTTGTCTAATGTAAAATATTTTTTGTAAATTCTTCCAATCGAAATTATGATCACTATTCAAGGAAATATGTATAGCATATTTTGCTATCAGTATCCAAATCCGAATATCAATACAAAAATTCATGAAAATTAAAGATAAAATCGTTTTAAAAGATTAGAAGAATTGTAATATCGTGATCGTAAACGCTCAAATTTTATAACTAAATAAAATTTCGAAATTTAATGCTTCAATAATGTATGTACACTCTGCACACACACAAAAAAATGGGACAGTTTTATATCTCCCGTTCTACTGGGGCGATTGACGAAATTTAACTTTCGTTTCACATGTCTCGAAAGCGCGACTTGGGATATATATTACATTTTTATGTAAAATTGTTCTAACGTAGGTATTTTGTTATAAACTGTGACTTATTCTGAAATGATGTAACGATTTTCTTTCCATACTTAAGTTCTAGGCCTCAAACCGCATCCAAATATTAAATTTTGTAAAATTTGTTGAGCAACTTACCGAGAAATTCAAAAATTTAGCTTGCCGCACATTGGCGCCAATACACTTGGCGAAATTCTTAATTTATAGTAACCTATTTTTCTTTACCTTCTTCTCTTGTGCACGAGCGGAAAAAAAGGAGCTTCGTTAATTTTTTTAAACAATTTTTAAAAAAGTTCTTAAAGCACATTTGGCGTTATTGTCGCTTATAAAAAATATTTCGAACCTAAAAACGCGCCAGTATGTCAATTCACGTATATCTTTGGCAATTTTGAACAAAAGCTCTTAATTTTTTGCAGGTATGCCTAGAAACACATCTACTTTAAGGCTATGGTAAAAATTGTGTAGGTTATAATTCAAAATGTTTTTTGAAAACTTTTAGAAAATTACTAAAAAACGCAAATTAAGAAAATAAAACTAATATCAGTGATAAATATCCAAGAAAATAACAGAAATGAGATAAGGAATCAAGTAAGTTAATAGAAGAGTTACTAATAAATATATACCAAATTCAATTAACAGTGAGGAGCTAAAATTTTGAAAGCTAATTTTTTTAAAGCTACACGTGCGGTTTTTACAATACTTGGCACTTTAATGTAATTTCAGTTTTGAAATCGAAATAAATAGGAATGGAAAAAATAGGTAAGTTATTTCAGAAAAGTCTGATATTGAGTCAGATTACCTTCGTTAGAACAATACTATATATAAATCTAATATATATTCTAAGATGTGCTTTCGAGACATATACAACGCAAGTTGAATTTCCTCAATCAGGAACTGTCCTCTTTTTGTGCAAGGTGTACAACATTATGTTTACATTACACATTTATTTCCTACAGAGATAGAATTCAGTATTTTAATCCAATATTTAGGATAAAACTTGGAGAACAAACTTGAATATTTTGAACTTTTATTAGGAATTCTGATTTTATAATGTAATATAAAACGTCCAAACTTCTTTAAGCAAATAAGCATTTTAATAATCCACAGTAAATTAGATTTCCTTCATTAAAGTAGCTAAAATATGATCTCCAGTCATTTTCAACTGAAATGAAATTTATTTTCTGAAAAGTTTATCTAATAATTGTATGAATAGTTTTGAAACTATACACCCCAGTTTCGTGACGAAATTTCAAAGAGTAATATATTTTTGAAATAATTTTCCAACGTAAGTGATTTTTATAACTATGTTAAAGCAATAATTTTTATTCAGAATCTATTCGGAATTGTTTGTTCTTTGTTAACTTTATATTAACTAAAGTTTTCAAAAGAATTTCCAGTGAATTACGTCTCCTATTTTTCGATTAAAAATTTAAGAATCAGTTTTGATTACAAAATAGTTTTCCCGTTTTTTTTTGGCATTTCTTTATTGAACGTAAAGTTTAATATGCTTACAAGATTTTCTGATATTTGGAAATATAGTTTCAATAAATAAAAGTATTTTTGATTATGTAATAGTTTTTTCAAAATATGTATTATATTGTTACGTTTCATTTACTCATATTATAAAGGTTGTTCGCACATTTTTTAGACTATTTTGCTTTGCTGTATAAAAAAAAAAATCTGCGTAGAATTTGTTTTAGCTGCAACTATATTTTTTTGTTGTTGTTTATGCTCGTCTGGGCTAATCTTTGGAATATGGTAACAGGTAGTTTGACGACATTTTGGTAAGGCGATAAAGGTTACTAGCTAGGACTTTAGCAGTGTACATGGATAAAGTCAAGAGTGTGCGCAATGCCATTTTTGTGCAATTCTGGGACTTTTTTCTTTTTAAGTGAAAAGTGGTCGACGTGTACATGGATACCGTGTATGTGGAATTCTTAAAAATGCTGCAAGCAGTGGGCGATTCTGCACTTTCTCTCAAATTCGCACCTAATCTTCGTCATGATGAAGCGCTTTTGTTCCATAAAAGTTCTAGGATAAGCGTAATCCGGCTAGCAGATTGTTGGGAAAAAAATGTTGAGTAAAAAACATGCCTTTACTTCGTGAAAACAAAATGGCGTCCAAAAAAAAAAAAAAAAAAAAAAAAAAAAACTAGCGGGTTGCTGTAGCAGGGTTGGTGGCCAAATTTTCGCCAAAAAATCGCCAAGTTCCCATAATTCGAAGATTAACCATTGTCTGACGTAGTAACCCCAAGCCTACGCAATTCCTCCTGGCAAAGAGCGCTAAATTACCCCTGCCGTTGGCAACAGCCTTGAGCACCTAACAGGTAACAGTGCGATTTGGCTCAGTTCCGCCCCCTATTTTGATGGAGAGCACCCTGGGGGGGACGAATCTGAAGGTCTCCCACTCCTCTCCCCTTTCACCAACCTCTCAAGAGGACTTTCGGCTCGCCGCATATTTAGAGTGCAACCATGCCGCACCGACACGATACATTTACAAACATCCATGCCTTCTCCGAGATTCAAGGTCCACCAGCGGCCGAGCGGTAAAGTCGCTGAACACTGGTCGTTCGGTCCGAGGTTCGAATCCCGCGAACGGGCTGGCTGCATGGGTGTTTTCGTGGTTTTCCTCATGTGTAACGTGTATACGAGCCAGTTCCCTTAGAAAGTTCTCCACGAAGGCATCCCTTCCCTTAGGCAGATAGCCATCGAGGCTTTGCCGTAATTAAATAACCTAACCTCTCCGAAATTCGAGCCCAGTCCCTTCGGCAGGGCAGTCAGCAATATAACCGCTATACCGGTCGGCGGTACTATACTTTTGAAAGTATAAATTACCGTCTGCTGCTTTATAGTTTCGTTTTATACGAAATGTCGCTTTTAAAGAAGCAGTGGATGGAAGGCTATGTTTGTGTACCTTCCGAAGAAAATTAATTATTCGTATATAGTTATTAGAAATGCTGTAAAAGCCATGGGTTTTCGATATCTAAAGCTATGCTATGTAATGTTGTCCACAGCAAAGGAAACAAACATCAAGTGGAAGAATTGTTCCAAATACGAATTCAAATACGAATTCCATTTAAAATGGAATATTTCGAATGTTGAGCCCACCAGCGGCCGAGCGGTAAAGTCGGTGAACACTGGTAGTTCGGTCTGAGGTTCGAATCCCGCGAACGGCTGGCTGCATGGGTGTTTTCGTGGCTTTCCCCATGTGTAACGTGTATACGAGCCAGTTTTCCTTAGAACGTTTTCCACGAAGGCATCCCTCCTCTTAGGCAGATAGCCCTCGAGGCTTTGCCGTAATTAAATAACCTAACCTATTTCGAATGTTGCAAAAGTAAGAGCTTCAAAGTTAAAAGAAAATTCCCCAAATCAAAAGACAATTGAAAAATCATTAAAATGCCAGTGGCAACTGTAAACGAAGTGATTGATTGCTGATTTTAATCTTAAAGCATTAAAATGTATTTTGCATCGTCCTTTTCCACGACTTAACTCCGAACACAGAACACGCTGCAGAATTCTTTTACGAGAAACGTTTATCCGGGCAAAAATGGAAAAATGTTGTCACAATAGACGAATCTTGGGTGTATTTAAATTACTGTTGTAAAGCGATATCCATTTATTGTCATCAAAGAGGAGAGGAAATAAAGAACTTAAAACAGGGTTCAATTAATCTAAAGAAAGCTTTCATAATGGATTTATGTTTGTTGCTGAATTTTCGTATAAATTCCAAATAAAAATAAAGAGAGCTGAGAAAAATGTTATGATTAACTCCATATATTATCAAAAACATATTTTACTCTCAATCTTCAAAATATGAAATACCTTCTCTTTACACGTGAACTGCATCAAGACAAAACAAGCAACAACACGTCAAAATCTACTATTAATATCCTGGAAAAAAAACGGACAAGAAACGGGTATCAAGGCCATACCCTTCACTCATATTCCTGCTAAATCTGTCACCAATATAGTTTTGTCCTTTTGTACTTTCGAAAAGGGGGTTGTCCAAAGTCCACCTAAAACCTCCTTGGACTAAAAAATGCTGTTCAAGATAAATAAGATAAAATAACTCTTCTCATACTATAAAAGCTTTACTATCTTGGATATTATGTGTATAAAGAAGTGAAGAATAAGAGTTATCAATTAAAATATTTAAAACATAAAAATTTTAGGTAAACTCTTTCTGTAATTATAATGAAAGTCATCTAAAAAATGTGCGAACTTTGACTACTTCTTTTCATTTTATTTAGTGACATATAATACTAGTTAAATGAATTAAACATCAAAAAAGGATTTTGGGAAAAGCTTCTACGTAAAATATACGTAAATAAAGCGTGTATATACGTAATATACGTAAAATGTAATTTTAAGAAAATTAAACTTTAATCAACTAAGTAAAAATATACGTAAATAAAGCGTATATATAACGTAATATACGTAAAATGTAATTTTAAGAAAATTAAACTTTAATCAACTAAGTAAACTAAAATCAGTTTGAAAGGAGAACAGAAATTCCCTTCAGAAATTTTAATATTGTCTAAAATGTGACGAAGTATGTTATGATTTTTCATTTTTGTTGTTGTTATTTATTATTATTATTATTATTATTATTATTATTATTATTATTATTAAGATGCAATACAATTTTTTTTTTTTTTTTCACTGAACATTTCATTTCATGATTTTGTGAAAGAAGCAATATTAAATGTATGTGTGATATTGCATTTTGTGTCATTTTTATTACCAAAAATTGTTTTGTTTAGCTTTTAATCTGCTTCGTAGTTATTCTGTTTAGATACACATTTCCAAGTTGTATTGTGTAATAAATGTTTTTGTCTGGTTACAGAATTCTTTATTTTTATTCTTCTTTAACACAGTGCTGAATGACTTTATAGTAATTTTGGAAAATCTTGTTATGTTATATTACTGTATTACATTTAAAATGTTTCGTAATAAATATTAAAACGTAAAATGCAAGCAAAGAGCCGATGCTGAAACTAATTTCATAAAATCCTATTCCGTGTTTTGAGAGTATTTTTGCTTGTACTTGGAAGTAAATGTGTACGATCAATATTTAAAAATGGAAGGCTTCAAGTTGCGCCTTTTTCGGGTTTATATATTAAATTCGCTGAGAAACTGAAAAACAGGAAGTGTGGGCGGAATTAAACTGAAGTGTTTTGGAATCCTAACGGAAAACTGTCCCCTTATTTCCAGTTTCAAGCGTTATGATATTTCGAAATACGAAATGGAATTTATACTCACTGTGTGTTGGCTTGAATAAATAATCATTCGTGAGCAATCGATTAGTCTTCGTTGCTCCGTTTTCCTTCGTTTAACATCATTTCGCTTGATAAAATACTAAAATCTTGTTTCCTTTCATTCTATGTTTGCTACATAAATATTTTCTGCGATGATATATAATTCATGTTTATATTTACCTATGAAATTAAACCCTATCATGGTTATCGGAAAATAATGCAGGATTTGGGG